CCCTCCCTCCCTTCCTTCCTTCCTTTCTTTCTCTCTTTCTTTCACCACATCACATTTGTGGCAGCTCCCTTACAACTGTGCTCTCTACAGTCGGTAGTTAGACTGCTCCTGCTCTGGGTCCGCTGCACCAAGGATGCAGCCCATGCTGCCTCGTCCAGAACTTCCTGTAACTGGTTTCAGTTATAAAAAACCAGTTTGGGCACGGGATCCACAGGCCCACCTCCAGAGAGCTCCTGTGAGTCCTGTGAGCAGTGGGCTCTTTTGCCTGGTCTTCCTACTTCCTTCAACAACCCTCCTGAAGCACTCTCTTTGATTTCTTTAATGCAAACACTTTGTTCCCTTATTCTAGCTTGCCTGTGAAGGAGGACACGTATGTGGCTGATAGGTATTCTGTCTTCCTAATGAAAGGTTAGGTACAGTGAGTCTCCTGGAGCTGGCGTGTGTAAGAAGATTCTTCAGGCCCCAAGCCACTGTCTGGAGAATAGGGCTGGGGTGGAGCAGGTGGGGATATTTCTGCTTTATTTTGGCATCATCAGTGTCTGGTGTGTGGTGAGGTAAGGCAGCAGCAGCAGCCGAAGGTAAAGACTGTGACGCAGGGACAGTCAGACAACAGCAGCTGACACAAAGGCCAGTCAGTGGTCAATGTAGATGGAGGACATTTATTCTTCTGTCTTATGAACTTTCGTACCCTCTACTAATTTTTAAATTAACTAAGCTACAAACATTTTCTTTTTCTTCTGGGCAGAGGACTTTGCTGCCTTGTGAGATGGAGAAGGCTTCCTGTCTACTGTCTCCTGCAGGGTTCATAAGCATTCGCTTTTTAGCTCTGTTTGACTGACACGGAGTCTAAGACAGATTGCCTGAGGGGTGAGCAAAGTGCTGAGGGGAAGGTGCTGCCTGTCCTGAGCAGGTTTCCACAAGCTCCAGGCGGAAGCAGAAGCTGGCCTAGGGTCATCCAGAGCAAGTCTATTGTGAAGGACGACTGCTCTGTGAAGGCTGGGGTCTGACTGCTCTCAAGGGAACTGTGGGAGAAAGATTCCAGAGAGTGTGATACAGAGTGCGGTATGTTGGGGAAATTGGGATTACAGATAAAAGGAAGTGCCTGGAGTGTCGGGAGTTTGTGGACTACTCCACTGTATATACTGAGAACTGTAGTGTTCTTTATCTCCTTCAGAGCGCTGCCTGCTGGGGGTTAGCGTTATTTTATGTTGACTGTCCATAAAGTTTCATACAGTGAACACTCCTTTTCCATCTTGGAGACCACCCTTCCTGGCCGGCTCTTCAGGTTCTGAGCTGGACACACACTCCTTCCCTGCTTATAACTGTACACACTTAGACAAGTGAGCATGGAGGCCGAAGGTGTCGCCGTTTTTAGGAGACAAAACTACATGCCATAGGAAAAAACATGCCATTAATAAACGCCATCGTCTGTATGATGAGAGTGAGAGTTAGCAGCTCCCATGTTAGCATTCGATGGCTGCGCTAATGGCATGCAGCTCCAGCCGGAACACTTCTGCCCTCCCTTTTGGTGACCTATTTAGTGAGGATATTTCCAAACTTCAGTTTTAAAAGCTTATTTGGGCTTCTACGTCATTTGGGGGACTGTGGTGGTGAAGTTAAACTTGTTCCTGTTACTCTCGAAGCACCGGTAATGAGAAGTGGTTATTTAACCTGCAGCATAATGGTCATTTCTGAAGGATGTCAGGAATCTCCAGTTGTACAACATATTCTCTTCTGAGAATTTACAGTTCTAAAGTGACCTTTGGTTTCTAAAAAAAACAGCATGGCAAATATGTTGAGTCTGTTGTCACTATAGAAAAGGCTGCAGAGCTCCAGGAGGATCTTTTTCTCAGAATCAGACCCCTCTGTTGTCATGGAGAACAACATGCCACCCAGTAATGAGAGGAAGGCTGCTGTATCATGGCCTCAATCGTCCTTCATCGGTTGCTTAGCTGACCTGGCAGATAACAGGAGTCCCTGGGTGGAGACGGATGACAGGTCAGGAGCAGCTGGGAAGGGACAGATGGCAGCCCGCTTGTCTCCAGGTCCTAGGTTGGCAGCTGGCCGAGTACCAAAATAGCTTCATTTTTCAATGAGCGTAAGTGCTGTGCCGGCTCCTTGGAAGGTGGTGGTGTGTGGATGCATTTGTGCCTGCAGGGAGAGGGCAAAGTCGGGGCTCCTTAGGAGTGAGCTGCATGCACGTTTGTGCAGGAATAGCTTTTTGAGGTCTTAGAGATTGTGTTCTACAGCTGTCTTACATTTTTCTGTTAATGTATTGCTTGGTCTCTATGAAACTCCAACTTTGTGTTTAAGTCTGTAGGTCATAGGGCAGCAAACAGTTCCTAGAACGTTTTCAGGAACAGCAGCTTTGACACTGGTGCTGCTGTGGTTGTCTTTATTGGCTAATCCTCACTGCAAGCCAGGGGTGGGGGGAGATACTTAACTGTAATCAGTGCTCTGTATTAGATAATAGCAAACGAGCAAACTTGGTTCCTTCCTCCCCAGCGATCCCGAGGGCTTGGTGATAAGAAGAGCGTTGGCCTCTGCTACTCTAGAGTCTACTCTTCTTCCCTCTGATCTCTTTACCTGCAGCTAGTAACAAGAATAAAACTGGTCTGCCTCCCTAGCTCTGGCTACCCTTCCCAGAGTACTCTGAGGTGGCAGCCATCTTTGTTACAATGGGGCGATGACTCAGCACCCATAGGGCTCTGTTCTAGCAGCCAGAGAAGTCCAGCTACCAAGAATAGCTGTGTGCCCATCTTTGTATAGTGTCCTTGTTTCTGTGGGTAAATTTGTAGTGGAGTGGCTGGAACATATAGAAGATACATGCTTAACTTTTTTTCAAAAGATTTATTTAATGTATGTTAGT